GCAACATAAAAAACTGTAGTGATCGCATATTTATAATATACACATTGAACACATAAGAAGAAGACTAAAATGTAATTAAATAACAGTCAACTGAGAAGATACTAGCAAATATTGAAAGGAAAGTTACTAACCTGTATTTGTTGTCTGCAACGGATGGGTAGCCTACATTTTCGTATTTATGTAGTATCTTAGACCAGATCTCTGTGGTTTGACATGAATGTGTCTTCTATAGCCCCAAAACATTGCGGAAAACTTGTTACTTGCAGCTATGTTTTTGGCTTCATCAGTGTTGGTAGATGAATAAATTTCTTCCTATGTTTAACGAGAAGTTCACAAAATCTACTCAGAAATGGATAAATTAGAATACAAGCAATCGTAAAAGTAATACAACCTCAACTATTGTTGAAATATACATACCTGTGCAGCAGTGTAGTTACCCATGAACAGATAGATGTACGATGAACCTCAAACATGTGTCCAGGGGTTCCAAACTCTGCTGTTGACGCCATCTGATATTACTTTGTGAAGTGATATTGGTGTACGAACTGTGGGTAATTCCAGCCCAACCCAGGCCCGTGGGCATTAAACCCGATCCAGCCATTTTGCATTGCCACCGCCTGAGAATTAATGCTGTTTGATTGAGATCTACAGGTTTAAAATCTACCTAACAATAGCTAATAGTCTAACTTTGGGAGTATTTTTTGTAACATGTTTCGGATGACATGAAGATGGCGAAGCGTATTGGTGTGAATATGTTTCATTACTAAAAATAATTTCTAGTTTCTAATTTGTCCCTAATGATGTGAACTTTGACATCCTAAAACGTGATACTATTCGCTAAATATTCGAAAGTAAACTTGATGTTGCTAGGGTAACAAATTCTTAAAGTCCAAATCACGAAACAGTCGCCAATGAAGCGACAATAATATATTGGTTCGGAAGGAGTTTTCTCTAATAATTTAGATTCCAGATCTGCCATGAAAATAATAGCATATTTCGGTGCCAACTTGCTTCCCATCGCCGTTCTTTTAATTTGAAGGTAATAGTTATCATCAAAAACAAAGCTGTTGTTTGTAAGAACCAGGGCAGATGCTTCTGTTATCCAACATATTTTATTTTTGCCTTTATTGATTTTATAAAGATATTTTTCCATCGCTGCTATACTGTCATTGTGGGGGGGTATTTGTGTAGAGTGAAACCACATCTATGCTCACTTATAGAGATTCCTGTTTGACTGTTTTTTTCAAATGATTCAAGAAATCCATACTGACTGTCTCGTATGTATGAAGGTATTATTTTCTTGCACATGGAGGGGGTCAATTCAATGTAGACTCTACATAAACTGAAAGTTTCTCTGGGGCGGTGCCATTATTTGATATTATAAGACGATTTGGATGATTTTTTCACATTACGCCATACTTTCGTTTCTTCAGAATGTTTGCATAACTGTCTTCTGCATTTTAAAAATAAAACTGGATTGTTAAAACTGGAGTGTAGGGCATCTTTGGTGAGCTAATTCAAGTGGATTTGAGAAAAATTTCAAATGTATTGGTAATCAGAAAATATTTTGCGAAAATTTGGTTGCGTTGGGTGACATTAGTTGATATTATAGGGCGACTGGGATGATTTTTTTTATGTACCTTGTGTTAGAGGCGTAATCGTCCTGGTTTTGGATTTTTTGGAGAATTGCTTTGAATAACTTATTTTGGAGAATTGCTTTGAATAACTTATCATCTTTCATCTTCGAGCATAGCTTGGTAACTTTATTACCAATTTGCCTGGAGTTATCCTTTAGTGGAGGTCTGTAAATCAACTCGTCATTTATTTGACGCATCCTTTCATAGACATAGTCCGTTCCGGATAGAATGCAAATGCCTCCTTTTATCGACCGGAGCGATAATTATGTCCCTTGCTACAAAATTATATCTCTTGTTACAGAAATATATTTGTGTTAGTGTGCAGTAAGACTATTGAATCACTTAGGATAGTTATTTTCACTCTTGCTACAGCATCCTTGCTCTATACGCATACAGATCCACTGGCGAACAGCATAGAGCCGGAGAAGTAGGAAGCCCAATCGATAGCGTAGATAAATTTGTCTAAAATAAAATTCAGATAAATTGTGACCAAACAACGAATACACAATTATTTATATTTAGAAACAAATTGCGATTTAATAAACACGATTGCTACTCGCCATGGAATAACTGTTCCGTTGAACTTGATCTCACAATAAGTTTCACTAGAACATTCTTCAAAGTCTTCTGGGCTCAGCTTTCGATAATCGGGGTTTTTTTAAAGTTATTTTTTGAAAGGCGTTGAATTCCTTTTAATAATGCTTCTGAATTATTTTTTTGTGATAGTTGTCGACTCCGCAGTTGGCAGGCTACATTGCAGATACAGAAGTTACGTGAAAAGGCTACTATAACCATCAGTAGATGTTGCGCGAGACTAACTCCCGATCCTCCCTCAATGCATTTGCGCTAGTAGATCCGTATGCGTATATGTTTTTTTATTCCTGCTACAGCATCCTTGCATTATACGGATACACGAGCGCAAATGCATTGAGCAAGGATTGGGACTCATACTGGTTTGTTTACCACGATCTCTGGGGCAAACGTTTGCTTTCAGATTCCATTGAAGCTGCACTCATTCCATCTGGCTGAGTCTCTCCCCTTCGCAAAAAGTTTGAAAGGCAACAGATAGTCTTCACCACCCCATCCGCTCTTGTATGCTGAAGAGGCATTACCCCATGGAATACCCTCGTTGGTTGGGAAGCATTTCGAAAGCAATTTCCACTATGCGCTGTTGATGCAACAAGAGAAACAGTCCGTATTTTGAGTTATTTAAAAAAAAGGTGGACATTTACCGTATATGCAAAAGGCAGCGGTAGACAGACAATCGATCGCAATCTGATAGGCAGACCTCCCAAAACTTGAATGGTTGTTGCTTAGCAACACACACAAAAAGAATACGCTAATGTATTAAAATATTGAATCGTTTACTACCTGGCAAATCCAATTATTTCTCTTTTGCTTATCACTACTTGATGGTGCATGGTCACACTTTTGAGTACAAAATCCCTGCCCGGTATGGTTATTCACAAGCCTCGTACCAGGCGCGTGACTTCCATTTATTTCAAGTTCTCTAAAAGATCTATCTCTTAAAAATGCACCATTATCACATAGAAATTTCTTCTTTAAATAGTTTGTCCTCCTTAACGTTGACAGGTTCAATGAAGGAATTCTTAGATGCCAATATGTCAGCTTTGAAGCTATACAACAGTTTGGCTGAAGGAACAAATTCATTGCAGCATTATTTCAAGATAGGAGGTATTTTCTGAATCTGACGATTGCCTTTAACAGAAGCAAATGAAGTCTATTTGTTGGTTTAGTTTTCATACAAGTTAATAAAGAGCACGTGATTGCTGGTTAAAGGTGTTATGGAGCAAGGGTAGCAAGCTCTTTAAATTGTGGATTCTGCATTACGCTCTGCGTCTTGTGTTAGCCCATTTCCCTTAAATATGGTTCAATAATATTCAATTCACAAATTTAGATACAATACGCTTTTTTTTTTGAAAATCAAATTTATACAGTCGGCAAATTGAAAATATTACTTAAATATGCCACAAACGTTCATTGATTTTCCACAGTCTCTGCAGGACAACTCTTTCAGAACGGAGATAATGAGCCTAATTAGCTGCAATCGGCCGGATAAATTCCAAAATTTCAAAATATTCAAACACCCACAAAATCCGTAACATCTACCCCATAAACTTATAGAAAATCATTATCTACAATAATCCACCCTCGAGATGGCGACCGAGCGCGTGAGACGTCTTTGGGTAGAGCTCAAACTCAACGTGATTTTGTAAAATAAAAAGTTACGTTTTCGCGGCTTCAAAAGAATCAAAAACCGCAGTATTTATCTGAAATTCTCAAGACGCCACTATTCAACTTACAGCTGTGAAAATTCGTCCAATTGAAGATATAAACTAATACTTTTCATAGAAAGTTTCATAAAAATTCTAGTTTCGACCATTCATGAGATATTGATTGTTCAACATGGGGGTGTCGATGCTTTTTGCCGCCAGTGAGAAGCTATGTTATTTCAGTATTTATGATACTGTTGCGGCCGATAAACAACAATGTTGACCCCTGAAGATGTAGAGTAGGGGTCGGCAAACTTTTGTCGGTCGCGGGCCAAAATTAAGGGTTGCAAGTCATTGGCGGGCCGCATATATTTTTAGTACAAAGTTGAAAACTGAACGGATGGATGTTACTTTTTATAATAAAAACCAAGCAGTGATACAGCTCTCAAATAAATATAGATTTATTTCCTCATTACATTGCATCTCAAAAAGTTCCATTAGAGTATTTTCGGTGCCATTGAACCCTTATCATCAACTTTTCTGCGTTTTGTTGCCATTTTTCTAATTATAATTAAATTATAGGCCCATTAATTTTATGCTTGTTAGATTATAAGATAATTTAGTCTACCCAGATGTAGAGCCTAAGAACCAATCGTGTTGTGCTGCCTACTCCAGGTTTGAAAAAAAATTCAAGATTTCTTCGACGAACCCAGCTCAGAATTATCCCCTCCCCCCTTCTGAATTATCAAAGACAATTGTGTTTCAAGCAAATTTTTTAATATGAACATATAAAGTGACACAGCTTTGGAATACTAACAGTGTAGTGGATGTTTTGAATATGAAGAAACATGGAATGAAAAATTTTTTGAATATGAAAAACATAGAATGAAAAATTATATACACTTGTATGAAACAAAAACATAATGCAGAAAACGTACACCGGAAATAAACTAACAGCTTTCAAATATGAGCAGTGTAAATGATGTATTGAACAGTGTTTTGAATGAGCGGAATTAAAAAAAGGGGGCATACAAAAAACAACACTGCTAAAATATGAGAAATCCAATATATACAAACAGATAACATATGAAAAAACGTAAAATGAAGAAATCTATATGCAAACGCTTTCCTATTTGTCGTATTCCACCACTGTGTGGTACAATTCGAAGCACGGATCGACATGTAAGAACACGATGCAGATGGGGCAATGATATTGAGTCCAATTCCTGTTTTTAGTGCTGGGACCAGCTCCCTCTTCTTTTCTCTTCGATCTATCTTTCTTACTACAAACATGGCAACTTCTTTGAACATGTTGTCTTCCAGCACTAGCAGCATTCAATTTTGGAAAGTGGCGCCCGGATAGCCTGATGTGTGACGCAACTTGATGGCTTTGGCTTGTTGTTACAGAATGAGCTTCACAAGTGAGCTCATTGACTATTTCCTCAACATATTCTAGAAGATTCAGTCTCTTCAAATCGTCGTTTGTTTGAGCCGCCATAGTATAAAGTTTGTGAGAGTTCACAACAGTGAGATTAAAAAGATGGAAAAAAAGTTTCTTCCACCATTTTTTGGTTTTTCTCTCAAAACTGTAGTAAGACAACATCTGGTCAGACTTATCAACACCAGCCATGTTGTCATTATAATCCTGAACAACGACAGGCTTCACTTTATCTTTGTATCCCCCAGGCCCACGAACTTGAACTGTTTTAGTGTCGGTTATATGTTTTGTGGAAAGCATAAGTACATCACGCTTGTCTTTCCACTTCAAAACAAGCAGTGAGCCTTTTCTGGAAGAAACTATCCCCCCTTTTTCGAGTTTTTTTTTGAATCGTACTTCTTGGTAGGCCACGCCTATCAATTCGGCATGTACCGACCGCGACAGTTTTTTGTCTGTACAACTCAGCAAACAGTTGGGGTGATGTATAGTATCTATCAGTATACACTTCATGTCCGACACCTAGATAATTTCTCATGAGATGCATCACAACCGCATATGTGGTGTCATCACTAACTTTTCCTGTTGCGATCTTGAACCCCAAACAATATCCCGATTCAGATTCAAATAGTTCATAAATTTTTATTCCCCATTTTTTTGGCTTCTTCTGCATGTAAGATCGGAATCTTACTCTTCCTTTGAAAGGACATGTTCCTTCGTCCAAACTTAGGGCTTTTCCAGGACTGTATAAACTTTTAAATTTTTCTTCTAAAAGGATTAGAAACGGAAGAATTTTATGAAGTGGATTATAACCATTTTGGTTGTATTTCACCCATTGTGTGTTGTCATTGAGGTGGAGAAATGTCAATATGGACAGAAATCTATCTCTTGGCATCAGACTTGAACAAAAACTGGAGGCATACATTGGCTTTTTTGACCAGTAGGTCTTCAGCAGTGGTTTTTTCACAAGTCCCATGATCAATATGATGCCAAGGAAGACTTTTATTTCAGCCACTGTTACTGGTTTCCATTCACTGACATAACTTCGTGGGGTCGCACTATCTCCAATTCTTTGCTTCTCTTGTTCCGCATACAAGTTGGTTTGGGATGTGATGTTATCCCAAAAATCACTATCCAAAAATTGAAATAGAACCGATAATGGAGAGATTGGTCCTTCCAGGTGATGCCGAGACTGACCTGTGAATGGAATAGGTTGTGGAGGATGTTCGGATTCATTTTCATCCCAAACTGAAGATCTTGGGGTAGATGGCAATGGACTTGAAACTGGATGGGTTTGCGTTGTGGCTGGTTTATATTTGGATCGGTGAGGTTTGTTGATATTGAGGACTTCTAGACATCCTAGGACGACCACGGGGCCTTCCTACACGTGGTGTAGTCGTGGATGTTGAAGGAATGTCTGAAGAAGTCTGGATTGTGGGATAATTGAATTGCAGCTGTGGGCTCTGTTGCTGTTCCACATATGCATAGGATGCGGGCCGAATGGGTTGGAGTGTTGTAAACTGACTCCACTCTTCATCTGAGTCCGATGAAAATGGCTGAGCAAATAAATCCAATCCCAAATTTGTTGCTGGTCCCATCGAGATTGGGGTGGTGTATACAGATGAAAAAGACGGCTGAACTGAAGGTGAACCTCTTGGCCCTAGAGTATAAGTTTATTTCAACTACGTAATCAGCAATAGATGATGAAATGATTGATAAAAACAAAATAAATAAAACTTACTTCACGAACCCCCAGGGGTTCACGAGACGATTTCCAGGGGTACTTGGATGGCAGTCGAGTTTTTGCGTGTTTTTTTTCCCTTTTAACTAACAAAGGAAAACTAGGTAACCACAAGATGAAAATGCATGCCAATAGAAACTCAGCGTATTTTTTCCTTGATGTAGCGTTGTTGTGATTGTGACGCGACAATGTGAAATGCGCGGCTTTATTAGAATTGATTAGTTGGGTGGAGGATAAGGGGTTCGCTTTGATTGTTTTGTGATTTTGGGGGTTCGCATTGAATGTTTTGTGACTCAGGGGGTACTTAACAGAAAAAAGGTTGAGAACCCCTGACTTAGGGCCATAAAAATGTGACGTAAAAAGTTACATTTTATGAACGATATTTATAGTATTACAAAGCAAAGGTGGAAAGCAATAAGTTCTGGCCAAACTCGAATTAGTGGCAATCGTCAGCAAATTCCTTGAGTTATATTAGCTAAAACATCGAAATTTGATTTCAGATTGGTTGTGGCAGCAGCATTAGGCGGCAAGATTGAATTACCCAACGGGCCGAATTTGGCCCGCGGGCCGTACTTTGCCCGTGTCTGGTTTAAACATCTAGTTCTAACTCTTATTATAGTCTCAATTTTGAAAAATAGATAAAATTACTATATATATGCCATCCGGCTGTGTTGGGCTAATTAGGGTACAAATTTTAGGTTGGAATTGATTGATAAAAGAAGTATTATGTTTTCACTCACCCAGAAGGTCATCATAAATATAATGAGATTCCTCGTCTTCACTTGAAGAATCATCCACGCCCTCACTCCCACTGTTAATTTCTGCTTCATATTTCTGAAATTCCTCCTCCATTTTAATACAACAGATTTGGTACAACAGATATATTTTTATGCGACTAACCTTGCTCAAAGCAGAAAGAAGGAAGGTAAGGTAAGGTAAAGGGTTTAATGGCGTCTTTGACAACTCGGTCTTTTACGCCAATTTTCAAAAGGAGTAGTCAGAATGATACAATAAAAACATGTTTACAACTCTCGTTTGGTGGATATAGCAAATTTAATAATTATTGGAATCAAATTAGGAACATTGAAAATACAAATAATTTCCCAGGGTACATTCATTTTTGCTGCTTCACGTCTTAATTCGCATCGTAAATTATTATACTTGGGACAATATAAAATAAAATGGGAAACAGTTTCATTTGTGTCACATCGACTACATTGCCCTGTGGGATGTAACCCTATTTTAAATAAATGATAGTTAAGTCTGATATGTCCAGTTTGAAGACGAAAAAATATTATTTCTTCTTGGCGGGAAAATTTGAAATAAACATTATTTTGGGCTATTTGAGGTCGAAAGTTTTTGTAATGGCTTGCAGTATCGTTTGCTTGATATGTTAAATTCCATTTCGCAAGACATGCTTGCTTGCACAATGTCGAACAAAGTATTGATTAGAGAAAACGCCCTCATCAGCAGGTCGTAAAGCGCTTGATGCCCGCAGTGTTCCCAATAAAACCCTGTCTAAAGAATTCGCAAAATAAATGAATCGAACTTGCGTGAATCAGATACACCAATCGTTAATTATATTATATTGACCAAAATTGAAGATTATAAAATTATTTTGTCCTCGAGATATGCGTTATTTCAATTTTTGTGATAACAATGGGAACACTAGTTTTTATAAGCCGATTCTACGTTCTTCTTTCTTTCCTGATTTTTTTTCCATTTCTTTATTATCACAAAGAGAGCAGCGTTTATTTACCGCATTGCACAACACGTCGTAAGCGTATTTCTTCAACATTGCACAACACGAAGTAAACTACACCCAGCTGTGCGTTTTTCAAGATAATCAAAAAGTGTTCCCCAATGGTATAATTTTGACGTAATCATTACGTCATACTCTCAAAATTAAATATGATATTTTCTACAATATGCCACCATAACTAAAATGTAATAGTATCAGTCATTCACATCTAAATTATAATCACAATTGCCTTTAATCTGATAGTCATAGGTCGAGGGGAACACAAAAATCCGACATCGCATGTTCACCCATGCCTGGGCCAAGTGTAACTGAAGGAATTGTCGGCAATTTCGTGTCGGTCAACTAAGCATACCACATTTATTCATATATCACCCCAACTCGTAGATAAATCACACATTCCGCGAATGAAATAGGAATAATACAATCTTGGTATTCATATGAATACATTCCCGGCCGACGCGACAGACTTAAAATGTATTCATATGAATCCCGCCGCTCTCTAAGAGTTTTGAAAACATGAAGTGAAAAAGTTGTTGAAAACCACAAGAAGTGGACAACCAAATTCATCTACTTCAATGCCTTCGCAGAGCTTTGTTACCACTCTTGTTCCCAAGGGATCATTTGAAGATGTACCGGAGGTCATGGTATCGGGTAGCATAATAGATGAGAAACCAGGAACAAATATATTCCTTTTTGTGTTACGGCATTTATTAAAAAAGTTCCAGGCAATACCGTTAATAAACAAAACTTGAAATTAGATTTAATCGAAGCCCGTGACTGCAATAAAAATAAATTATATGAAACGCTTGTCTAGCATATCCATGGTGGATGTCTTCTGCGGCATTTTTTCAATCGTTCCTGGGCTTCCGAGTTTCGACCGACCCGCTAAGAGAAACAACATTTCCATTTTCTTCTTTTATTGCCATCGTTTTGTCATCTACAAAATGTATTCTCCTTGATTTCTTTCCAATTTTTGAAGGCTGTTTAATAAAAATCATAAATTTACTATCTATGATAATGATTACACACAAGTTCAACATTTTTTACCTCAAGCTTATATATTTCCTTTATAGTTGCCACAAGGCGTTCTTTTCCACGAAGTCTTAAGATTTCTTTAATCCATCTTGTGTCGAATCCTTCACTATTTTTGCACGCTTGGCTGATCTACGTTATGCTCTTCATCGAGCGACTTTGATTGGCATGAATTACAAGAATCACCTTCGTGCTGTATGGCGACTAGACAGTTTGTGTTGAAATATTTAAATAAATTGATTTAAATGCTAAACAAGAGCAGAATTAGAGCTAAAGCAGAAATTGTTTGCTAGGGTAACTCATATTTCCGAGTTGAATTCAAATTTTATTGAAGAACTATTACCCAATATAGTTGTAATATAACTAAGTATCGCCAAAGACTCACCTTGTTTGTGAAATGAATTTGTTAGACTGTCTTAAAACATAATTTATAACTCCAATATGGGAATTCCGCAACGGGCATCGTTTTTATACAAATCTTATCCGACGAAGATTTTTGCGGGATAGAAATACCGTGTAAATACGAAGGTATTGCTATATGTTCGTTAACTTAAGGAACTGCGTCGGTAGTAAAATTTGGATGGTTTAGTTAGATGAATTTATTAGGATTGGTCTAATTTAAAATATCTATGAATGGAACAACTCTTCCTTCAAAAATGAATGAAGTTCGCGCAATTTAGAAATGCAGGTCGCCCAACTACCTTTCTTCCTGCCATTAATTTTTGATGAAAAATTGTCTCCGGTAACTTTAGACTTGGGAGTGATCATGAATGAACCCATGGCTTTTTCGATTTCTATCGTGGGCCATAAAAGGAAAGTTAGGTCCTTGTGCTGGCGATATTGCCCATGAGAATACACCTATTGATATTGTCTTCCAGGTGATATTATGTTGGCATGAACATAGATAAAAAGTTTAATTGCTTCAACCTGTCACCTCATGGTAGTGGTGGCCAACTCACCTTCGTTTCTTTTTAAGACTGAAGAACTGAACTGAATTTGATGTTGCAGTAACAGTTATATGACAACATCTTCAGAGAAAATGGTTCAACAGGAAGAGGATCTCTTCTAATCCAAATGTTTCATCTAAGGGTGGGAATCCTAATTCTCCCATCACCGATCAATAGTGCTTGTTTACGATCTGAGTACATAGATTCATGTCCATTATTATAATTCACATGCGACGTAGTAAACATTTACATTGCGGTACATACCTTCTCAACAATTTTAGTTTCTCTTCCCATTTTGAAATTACTGTAGTGTGGTGTGGTAATAGCAGTATGACTGTATGATAAACTAGCCAAATAAGTCCATACGAAGTTAACAATTCAAGAACTTCTTTGCTTATTTGCACAGGACTGTTTCGTCACTCTCCTCTCTATTCTTTCTTTAACCTCTTCAACAATTTTTATTCCTCTTCCCATTTTGAAATTACTGTAGTATAATAGTGTAGTAATAGCAGTATGACTGTATGATAAACTAGCCAAATAGGTCCATACAAAATTAACAACTCAAGAACTTTTACATGACTTATTATTGTAATCGTTGCGGAATCGAGTATACATACATGATGAAAAGTTACAACAAGAATTACATGACAAAAATTTATACGAAATTGACAGTTCGAGAACTTCTTTGCTTATTTGCACAGGACTGTTTCGTCACTCTCCTCTTTATTCTTACTTTAATCTCCTCAACAATTTTAGTTCCTCTTGCCATTTTGAAATTACTGTAGTATAATGGTGTGGTAATAGCAGTATGATAAACTAGGCAAAAATTCATACAAAATTAACAGTTCAAGAACTTCTTTGCTTATTTGCACAGGACTGTTTCGTCACTCTCCTCTTTATTCTTTCTTTCACCTCTTCAACAATTTTCATTCCTCTTGCCATTTTGAAATTACTGTAGTATAATGGTGTGGTAATAGCAGTATGATAAACTAGGCAAAAATTCATACAAAATTAACAGTTCAAGAACTTCTTTGCTTATTTGCACAGGACTGTTTCGCCACTCTCCTCTTTATTCTTACTTCAACCTCCTCAACAATTTTAGTTCCTCTTCCCATTTTGAAATTATTGTAGTATAATAGTGTAGTAATAGCAGTATGACTGTATGCTAAACTAGCCAAATAAGTCCATACGAAGTTAACAATTTAGGAACTTTATTGCTTATTTGCACAGAACTGTTTTGCCACTCTCCTCTTTATTCTTTCTTTCACCTCCTCAACAATTTTCGTTCTTCTGTATGATAATAAACTAGCCAAATAAGTTCATACGAGATTACCAACTCAAGAACTTTTACAGGACCTATTGTAATCCTTGCGGAATCGAGTATACATACATGATAAAAAGTTACAACAAGAATTACATGATTTTGACTGAAAAAATTAATGATTATTGGTAATTGTAAAATCAAAAGAGCAGTAAAATTTATTAGCACCAACGATAAAAACAAAGAAAAATTGATCAATTGCTTAATTCATTTGAATCTTCTCATATGCTGCTCATTTCACAAAGGCAAATTTTATGGAAATAATTTCACAACGACCATGAGTGCAATTGTATCTCCTTCTGCTGATTAAGGTAAAAGCTAACTGTGATGAACACCCATTCTCATCAAATATTGTAATCCATTCGGTCTTGTTTCACCAGGCTGTCTTAATTCTTTCGCTGCATTTAAGCTATCCGCACAGTAAATTTCTTTCTATATTGCTGGATCTGCCTTAACCCTATCTAAGTGATTATTCAGTATTATACAGTCAAAATCATTTCCATTATGATCCACAAGACACACAAGAGCTTGTCCATCCAAAAATGATCTGGGAATCATTGTTGTTTAATATGAAAATGGCTTTTTATTGCGAAGTTCTAAATTCCCCTTGTCAATTTTTGTAATTGTGACAACGCCTTGTGGAATCATGGATAAAAGATCAATGAGAATATTCAATTTGTTTTCGACTCTTTTGGAAATTCACCAAATTCATGTTCCACTACCTCATTACTCAATTCGGTGACTTGACCGCTATCAGACATAATTCAGTTATATTATCAGTGGTGGTGTCCAGTTCAGTTGTTTCCAGATCGAGAAACACAAAAGGTTTGAATATCATGTTCATTGGTTGGTCGGTCAGGGTCCTCATTTGGTCAGCTGACTCTTCGCCATTTTCCATAGATTGAGCCGGAAACTAAGCTCTCGCAACTTTTTGGTCGCCAGGTAGCACATCTAAAAATCCTAATCCTAAAGTTGGCAACCCAATCTTCGTCGCTGCAATTGTTCATTTTGCCACCAATCATCCGGTCCGAAAGCATATTGTCAAAATTAGCTTATATCTGTATATAGTCTAGTATTATGGTACTGCTTTAACTTATTGTAATACATTACACACAACCAAATTAATTCTACATAGCCTACGGTATATGTTACCCAAGGGTATACCATAATTTAACTAATTAAAATATACCGGTATCCATCCATATTCTCCTTGGCATTCTTTCTCTTCCCCAATACGTTAACGCCAGCAATGACTTCATCCGCCTTATTCTTCTGGTGTGTACCCATAACACCAACGCCGGCACCGCGTATAAAAAAGATAAGAGGCTCGTCACGCTGTCCATCCCTGAAAATTAATGAATAGCGAAAAGGCGGAATCCAAAGAGACAGCTATAATACCGATACCACTGAGGAAATCCCAAAATAATCAAAATCTGGCCGAACGAAGATGACACACATCATCAACCCATCTAAGCGTGTAGTTTTGCCCATAATGCATCTCGATTGCATCGAAACAGGTCGCGATTTTGTGTTCTAGTGACTCGTTCACCCTAGTGCGCGCGCCCGACTGTGTCCTAGTTCGACCCAGTCATAAAACACACACTTATTACGTGAGGTGGCGCACATGTATTTTTTAGAATCTAAATTTTAGATAACCAAGAAATGAATTCAGAGGCAGTTCCATCTACATACCGTCAATCAATTTTATTTTGGTCACTCTGAAAGAAACCAAACAACAACAAACGGACAAACAAAATGCAAGTAAATAAAACAAATTCTTTTGTAGATGAATCGTACAATTCAGAATATTGCAATAGCTCTAGAGTGAAAGCTAGTCTTATATTCAAGTGCGGACTCTTCTTTCCCATACATACCTAAGGCGATAGCTCTGTAAAAACAGTTCCCATCAGCAGCCGCTCGTCTTGGACTGTTTATTGCCAATTCGTTAGGTTGTAAAGATGGTAATATTTGCGCGGATGTGGCATTTTTGGTGCCAACAAGCATTTCAGGAACCTCGAACTTACGCAAAAGAATCACTTGGTAGCTTTCATTGGAGATTGTCTTGTCGCCATATAAATTGAGATTGTGTTGCAGCCAAAAACATAATCTATCTGAATTAATAATTAGGTCTAGTTACTTGTAAATTTTGTGATTCAATCTTTTTGCTTTTGTTCTCCTTTTTCTTGGTTGTAGTATTTGAGTCTCGATGTGTTGTATGATTACGATACCACGTATTCCAGGCTGAATTTGTTGGAGCTAAAATCCGTCTATAGATTTAGTTACCCAGACCGACTCTTTCGCAGGAACTGCCGGTAGCTTCGGTGCTGCTCGGCCTCCCTTCCCGAGTGAATGTTTCATTCTATTTTTATTGTACGGAAAAAGTACACTTGACTATGATTAGCATGCCTTATAGTAGAAAGTTTGTGATTCAGTCTTATTTTCGATTCTCTTGTTTTTGCTTCTCGGTTGTAGTCTGCGAATTCCTTTTTTGACACCTCGATGTGTTATGTTGTATGATTCCGATGTTGATACCACGTGTTCCATGTTGAACTTGATTGAGCTAAAATCTTTGTTTATGAAGTTACCCGACATTACTATTTATTTTGGTCACTCTGGCATGAAGCAAATGAACAAACAGAATGCAGAGAACCTGGAGGACGAGTATAAATAACTTAAGGATAAAGTTAAAAACATACAAGTACGCGTCCGTTCATCAAGACTACACAATAAAATAAATACACACGATACAGAATCTGGCAATACCCTACCTAGAAATTTGATTGTGTTAATATCTTTATCTACGTCCGTATCCACTCCATCAAATACACGGAAAAGATTTTTTTCAGACCGTTGGGAATAACTTCAATCCCATTTAGTGTTAACTAATACTGTAATGAAGTTATATTAGAATTCCTCTGTTTACTGAGTGGCTCCAGTCTTGTCATCCGGGTGGGGTGTCGCACACTCATGCAAAGTCATAAAGCACATCTTCATGTCATGATCCTAATACAAAAATATTCCAGGCCATTTTGAAGAAGTGTTGCTAGTTTGACTTGTCTCAAAAGGTGAATGCCTTGCGGATGACCACTTTGCCGCCCGTGCCAAATATCAAATTTTCTGAGTTTGGCAGGTTTTTTGTTTCAGGTGATTGGAAAATATTTGGAACGTTTTAGTTGTTGAATGAACGCGAAGAAAAAATGGGCCAAAATATTGGATGTTCTCCTGTATCAGATCTAACAACCTTTGAACCCAGTTGAGGTAACAAAAAAGTTACCAAGATTGTACGTTTTATGAATGCCTAACATCTACTGCTCAGCACAATACAAAATCGCTGAACATTGTTCCTTCTTTTCAACATTGCAGCACTGAGCGAATGGATGTCTCCTGTCATAGATATAAGCTTTAAATATTGGTCCGCGACATTTTTTTATTTTAAGTATTTTTTCATAATTTGAGCAGTGCGATTTTCGTTCATTGTATTTTCTGTTACGAGCTTGTTTATAGTTTTTTTTTAAGTATTCTGGCAATGTCCATTATTCAAATTTTGTTGTAATATTCGAACGTGTGCTTTTTTAGGCGGCAGATAGTTTGTCAACAACTTCAGTTCTTTCAGTACGTCTGTGTTAGTTTTTACATAAATCTGATCATTTTCTCTGGATGGGCATAACGTTGTGCTTTTTATTTCAAATCAATTATTGTTTCTTCGCGATAAACTATTCGTTCATCATTTATCCAAGATTCTTGATTCATAAATTTCCCCCACAAATATTTTTTTTTTGTAACTTTTCAACACGGAAACATCGAGAGTTGGCAAGCGTTTGTTGTATGTGGGTGTTTTCTTCGTCAACGAGTTCCTTAATCTTTTCTGTTTTGTGTGATAAATGGCCTTCGAGTGTTAATAAAACCGGATTTTGAGGGCTTCTCGCAACAGGGCAATGCTTGTTATTATTGTTTATATATACACTTGCAGAATTGGCATATAAAGCGTTTTATTGCGTAATTCTACCAAGAAACGCCTTGGAAGATATCACAAGTGGTAGCATAGAATGACCCGACGCATTTACACAACTGCTTACGGTTATGTAGTCATGTCATACCTATGTATATGGTTTGTGCCACAATGAACTGCTTTTTATTTATTTAAGCCAGTCATTGTATTTTCGCGATTCAATATTCGTTCGGGTTTAGAATGTAAGTTGATTTCGTCCATAATCTGTCCAAGATCTTAAAAGTAGTGACGTAAATCTTCCACAATGGTTGCGCTAATCCGAGTTCTGTCTAACAAGACTGGTTCACTTAGCTCCAGGTCGTAGATATTTTTGTTGCGTCCCTGAAATTCCCGTCACCTTTTGTTTTTGAGGCCCTTTTTGGACGAAATTTATTTTTCCTAGAAGATTTGTCAACAAACCATGCCTGTTATTTCACTTGCTCTATATTTAACTGTGATGCCTGTGTAGTCTGTACTTTATGCAGGAAATTAGAGTCTTCCCGTTCTTTTCTTCTTATCTTGTTTTCTATCCCACAACGACATCTATCTCCACCCACCCTGCCATGTACCCTATCTCTGAGAGTTCTTGGTACATTCCATTTCTCTGCTGCCGATTTGATTCTCATGTCATTCATAGCAGCGCGATATTCATTCCCCATATTCGAATTATTTTTCCATGATTTTCTTGGTAGTCCATTTTTGCGTGCAATAATGATTCTACCCTGTTATTGCCACCCTGCGCTTACAATTTACAACAACCCTATGTCTATTTTTTTAACATTGTTTCTACTTGAGTCGACATGAATTTAATATAAAATAAAAGTCACCTCATTTCTTTGGCTTGTTGTTACAGAATGAGCTTCACAAGTGAGCTTATTGACTATTTCCTCAACATATTCTAGAAGATTCAGTCTCTTCAAATCGTCGTTTGTTTGAGCCGCCATAGTATAAAGTTTCACAACAGTGAGATTAAAAAGATGGAAAAAAAGTTTCTTCCACCATTTTTGGTTTTTCTCTCAAAACTGTGGTAAGACAACATCTGGTCAGACTTATCAACACCAGCCATGTTGTCATTATAATCCTGAACAACGACAGGCTTCACTTTATCTTTGTATCCCCCAGGCCCACGAACTTGAACTGTTTTAGTGTCGCTTATATGTTTTGTGGAAAGCATAAGTACATCACGCTTGTCTTTCCACTTCAAAACAAGCAGTGAGCCTTTTCTGGAAGAAACTATCCCCCCTTTTTCGAGTTTTTTTTGAATCGTACTTCTTGGTAGGCCACGCCTATCAATTCGGCATGTACCGACCGCGACAGTTTTTTGTCTGTACAACTCAGCAAACAGTTGGGGTGATGTATAGTATCTATCAGTATACACTTCATGTCCGACACCTGGATAATTCCTCATGAGATGCATCACAACCGCATATGTGGTGTTGGACTCATCACTAACTTTTCCTGTTGCGATCTTGAACCCCAAACAATATCCCGATTCAGATTCACATAGTTCATAAATTTTTATTCATCATTTTTTTGGCTTCTTCTGCATGTAAGATCGGAATCTTACTCTTCCTTTGAAAGGACATGTTCCTTCGTCCAAACTTAGGGCTTTTCCAGGACTGTATAAACTTTTAAATTTTTCTTCTAAAAGGATTAGAAACGGAAGAATTTTATGGAGTGGATTATAACCATTTTGGTTGTATTGCACCCATTGTGTGTTGTCATTGAGGTGGAGAAATGTCAATATGGACAGAAATCTATCTCTTGGCATCAGACTTGAACAAAAACTGGAGGCATACATTGGCTTTTTTGACCAGTAGGTCTTCAGCAGTGGTTTTTTCACAAGTCCCATGACCAATATGATGCCAAGGAAGACTTTTATTTCAGCCACTGTTACTGGTTTCCATTCACTGACATAACTTCGTGGGGTCGCACTATCTCCAATTCTTTGCTTCTCTTGTTCCGCATACAAGTTGGTTTGGGATGTGATGTTATCCCAAAAATCATTATCCAAAAATTGAAATAGAACCGATAATAGAGAGTTTGGTCCTTCCAGGTGATGCCGAGACTGACCTGTGAATGGAATAGGTTGTGGAGGATGTTCGGATTCATTTTCATCCCAAACTGAAGATCTTGGGGTAGATGGCAATGGACTTGAAACTGGATGGGTTGGCGTTGTGGCTGGTGATATTTGGATCGGTGAGGTTTGTTGATATTGAGGACTTCTAGACATCCTAGGACGACCACGGCGTATTTGGATCGGTGAGGTTTGTTGATATTGAGGACTTCTAGACATCCTAGGACGACCACGGCGCCATCTTCTGGAAGGGGGCCTTCCTACACGTGGTGTAGTCGTGGATGTTGAAGGAATGTCTGAAGAAGGCTGGATTGTGGGATAATTGAATTTCAGCTGTGGGCTCTGTTGCTGTTCCACATATGCATAGGATGCGGGCCGAATGGGTTAGAGTGTTGTAAACTGACTCAACTCTTCATCTGAGTCCGATGAAAATGGCTGAGCAAATAAATCCAATCCCAAATTTGTTGCTGGTCCCATCCCAGTCTGGATTTCATGGCCTTTTTGAACGAGAAATCGGGCGTGCAATCAGAAATTCCCGCGTGCAAATCAGAATTCCCCGCGTGCAATCAGAGACCGCGGCGTGCAAAACGACCGAGCCCGCGTGCAAGTAACTAACTTTCACTTTACGGCTTTATGTACATTTAAATTTCCAATATGGTGATTCAGCACAAAATGGCCGTCTTCGCGACCTTTGACCTCGAAAACATTCTTTAATATTAAATATCTATTTTTAGAGTGTTTTTGCGAGTTTGTGGTCAATTACTAATTTACATGTTCATAACCCTCATTTTTATTCCAGATTTAAACATTCGCCATTGGTGGTAGCGCTGGTATTTTGGCACAGTCAATCGCAGCTTTTCCAGAGTGATTTTGACTACTCCAACTATAACTAAAGCGGAAGACAAAAGGAATATTCACTAAATAGGTTTATACCCAACGTAATTAAAATTTGGTTAATAGATAGTAAAACAACGAAAACGGGACAATATTCGAAAACATGATTTAAGAATATGTCCGATTCCTATTGTTGCATCGCGTCAACTTATTTCTTATTAATCATTCTTACAGATTTGAACAAGGAACTCGATGCTCGCGTAAACATCCACTATTGGAAGAAGATGATATGTTGTATTTCTGCAGGTTCTAGATACCGGATGGATATGATATTTTCTAACAATCAACAACATGAAAACAAAATAGTTTGTCATGGAGAAAGGCTTCATCAAGTGACATGGAAAACTCAATTGAAAATGGAATTCATAAAGTGTTATGTTTATAAAAAACTTTTTTTAAACTTTCACCCAGCAATTTACTTGCTTCTCTTTGTATTAGAAACGAGCGGTTTATTCTTTTTGTGTTGCACTGGTGTATTCTACACGATTTGTGAGAACAGAATAGTAGGAACGAACTTACTCATTATGCATTCAGTTGCGAATGTAGAGAAGGAAAAATTCAAGTTCAATCGTAAATGTAAATATTCGATTCTAGCGTATTGTGAGAAGCCTTCGGTTTTCTAAATCATAATAGTCACCCGACAGCAATACCGCAAATTCGATTGCTTGTGTGTATGTGTGTATGTTTATTTGCCTCAAAAATGTAACAATATCTGCATAATAATTAAACGGTATAACAGAGACGGGATACATGTTCAAGACCTTACCAGTCTAAGACAAAAATGAGCGACATGCGCTCGTATTTGGAACTTGACGATAACGAACAAAATCATTAAAATTAAAAGTGATTCATGAGTCTTGCTGCACACTAACACAAATATATTTCTGTAACGTTTCGTCTGATCGAGGTCAGACTTCTTCAGACATACATAATTCAACTATAACATGAAAAGCATTTACATACATATTTAAACAATCAGTGTAAAATTAAGGGAGTCACGACTGTTAAATGATCAATAAAATCGACGAATTCTTAATTAAATAGCAGCGGGTGATCGAAATGAAAGTCATTGATGAGATCTCTCTCTTTGTCTTATATTTAGCAATTGAAGTCCAAATTAAACAATGGTGTTTCGTTTCTCAGTATTGTATAATGCAGACCAGAAAAGTTTTCTGAGTGTCAAATGTAATATAGTGATATTTTGTCTGTTATTAGCATGTCTGGCCATGCATGATCCAATTCTGAGAAAAAAATATTAGGTATAAGAATTGATTAGAACAATAAATGAAATTTTTTTATAATCGGTCTAAACTTCCTTAATATTCATCCCTTGTGGCTCGTGTGTCCCGAAAAGATGAAAGAAATGAGATTCCTTGTTTTTTCGATAAATGTGGTCATGAAATAGTTTTTCAAAGCTCATGACACTAAAATCTTTAAGCGAATGTCCCGGTTGACTGGAATGGGCGCCCACAACCAGATCTTTGTTATGGGTTTTTATACTTCTAATATGTTCAGTTATTCGGTATTTTAAATGTCTTCCTGTTTCTCCTATGTACTGCATGCCACACTTTTTGCAGCTTATCAGGTAAATTACATTTTCCGAGTTGCATGTAACTCTTTGACGGATCCTTATTTCTGCAGTCTTCTGTTTGTTTGTTGCAATTTTCCGTTCTTCGGAATGTTGCTGCATGATTTTCTGCCACATTTGAAAAAGCCTGGATCCTTTTTGACGGGAGTTTCTGGTTTTAATTTTGCTCTAACTAATTTGTCTCTTAGCGTGGGGCATTTACGATAGGCTAATCTTGGTGGTTTTGGGAAAATTTCTTTTAGTCTCTCATTGTTATCCAAAATGTATTGGTAATCGGAAAAGATTTTTCTAATATTTGGTTGGGTCGGGTGATAGCTTGTGATGAAAGGAAGCAAAGTTTCTTTTTCAAATGTGGCAGAAAATCATCGTTTATATACGCACAAAAACAAGCTCACATGTAGCATCGATTAAATGAACAATAATTGCAAAACTCTTCATGTTATAATTTAATGTTCATAAAGTGCAAATATCTTTCCAATGCGTGCAACCTATATTAAAAAAGAAGAAATGCTTCTCGCGTTTGGAAACCTCTGATTGCCCTGACAAATTATTAACAAATGTTATGCTAGTGTTTTGGGAACAACAGGAAAAAGCAACCTACAATCAGAGTTATCGGCATCAGGGTTAAATTCGAAATGAACTGAAAGCGTCTCGCGATTGGAATGTTGAGCAACCAATCATTAACAAATGTTTTACCAGCATATTTGGATCAACAGAGAAAAACAGCATGAAAAACCCTCATCGGCGACAGGGTTAAATTCGTATTTTGACGTTTCAAAGCGAGGAAAGAGAACGGGCCCTCTCTCTTGTTGGATCACAGTCGACAATGTGCATTGTCTTATATCGCTAATGCGACGATCGTTGTCAGTCGAAAAATACATTACTTTCTGTGAGTCTAGCAGTAATAACTTACGTTCGGGTTGCGATAATATATAGTTTTTTACCGTAAGAATCGGTAGTTGTTTGTTCTGATTACGTAGGGGGCAGAACACTCGTATTAACAATATTCAAAGAGGAGGCGATGACTTTCATAACCCCCCGCTGGCTGAGTTTGCGCCTCGGCCTGCTCGCGAGAAGTCGGAAGGGTTCGTGGTATGGTGATTTTCTTCTCGTTTTTTTATTATTAAAACAGTTAGAAATACGGTTTGTTTTGCGTAACAATAAAGGCGTAGATATAGAATTAAGAACGTTTAAATTCGATTTCAATAATACTAATTTGTGCTGTGTATAGTATAGAAAAGTAAAATCACAGAAAGAAAGCTACCCGTACGATCCAAGAGGCGAGATTTTTTTAAACATCAGTTTTGACATCAATTTTCACACTTAATTTAGATTATACTAGGAAAACAAAGTGATTTATAAAGTTGTTAAGTTTATCAGAAATCGAGTTTGGTCTTGTGGACGAACGTCGTTACCAACGAAGATCGGGTATTTTCATCTTGTGTGGTGTGTAAGATGGAAGTGTCAGTGTGTGGCGTTTGCGATAAAAGTTGTTCTGGTGCCCACAAATGTGTTGAATGTGGAATAATAGTGCACGCAATTTGTGGAAGGACTGTCGGCGAGGAAGGATATGGCTCTAAAGTCATATGTTTTAAATGTGAAGGTGAGAAAATAATCATTTACTTTTCAACCAGTTATGAACGTCAGTTTGATTACTATTTCCATTCTGGGCCACAGGAACATTTATTTGAACGACTATACCGCTTGATACCTTGTTTAAATTGGTAGAGCATATTCTGCGATTGTTTCCATCTATATAAATAACCTATCAACGCTTTTTATCGTTAAATAAAGCGGATGGTTCATTAAATGTAAAGCTGGTAAATTAATAGTTGAGCAAAATTTCTCGGATGCAATTTATTCCTGTCAATCTCCAAATTTTAATGAACGCTTGACCCTTAATGTACCTTCGCCAGTGACCTTGGTCTCTCCCGCACGCCAAAAGTTAATCGAATCATAGTTTTGATACTGCATCACACAGTTATGTTATAAATGCCTATTTATATATGCAGGGCAACGACCATCAACATCATCAGAATGTCAGGACTCAAGTGTTTCTGGTCCTCCTCAAAAGAAAAAGGGTGGCGTGTACAAAATATTTATGCCGAAAGAATGGAAAAAAATAACCGACGAGCCACCTACGAAACGTGCAAAAAAACGAGATTTAAAGGATCCCCGTTATTGTTTAAAGTGTGGCAGAACTGTTTCTCGGCCATATGACTACGACTTGAAAAGACATGTGGATATGCACCATTCGAAAGACAGTGACTTTGATATCCGAAAACAGCTTCTACCTTTGGACCATGAATTGGTTGTAAAGGCAATTAAGTCCAGAAGCTCGGAAGTACAAAGCCTCAAATCCGAGTCACATGTTACAGTTCCAGAGACTGTTCCACACAAAAAGGATCAAGTGATGATCGATGATCCTCCACAACATAAAACGTCGGGTAACGAATCTTTGTTGCTGCAAGGGGTACTTGGATCTACAAAACCTGAATCACAATCAAAAGAAACTTCTGAATTTGGTAGTGGAAAGCAAAGGCAAAAAACAATCCCGTTGGTTGCAAAGAAGAAAAAAGACGCTGATGAAGGACTGATTGAAAAAGAAACTTCAGAAGCCGGTGACACCAGCGGTCAAATAATTTTATCGAGAGACGTCGGACAAACAATTGTAAAGAAGTTAGACGAACTTCTCGATAGAGGAAGGTTCGGCGAAACAACTTCTCAGCCTGATGTAGACCAAGAATTTCAATTAGAGAATTCGAATTGGATAAAGAATTTGGAAAATGCCAATTGCCTCATCCAGATAAAAGATTGCGGTTTCGACTTCCAATCACAAGCAGATGGAGGAATCATAAGGTGCAATGTATGTTTTCAATACTTGATGGCAATAAGTAAGCTAAGGCTAGCACCCACTGGAAACATTAACTTTGGATGGGGACTTACATATAACAACGAAAAGATTGCCAAACTTGTTGAAGGAAAAAATCAATTGTGGTATTCACAAAAAAACGCGATGTTGAAGCATCTAAGGTGCGAGACGCGCAGTGGGGGGGGGGGGGGGGGGGGGGGGGAACGCACTACAAAGCATTAATCCACTATCAGCAAAAATGTTCTTTACGGATAAAATCACGAGAAATTGTTGAAAATCTGGTACGGTCTGCCCTCGTTGTACTGAAAACCAAATCGGCATCGCTTCACTATGAGAGCATGGTGTCTCTACTTTACTCTTGTGGCGTTGATGTTGGAAACATTGGCCATGGCAGAAAAATCTTCAATGATTTGATTCATTCATTTCAGTGTTATGCCCTGCGGGCGCTGAATAAAATACTTTTGAAAAATCTGCCCTCTACAGGATTACCCCCCCCCCCCCCCCACTTTGCTTCGACATCAGACAAATCTACTCCAGGTCGGACAACAAATCAAGCTGTGATGATTTTGACTATGATTAAGGGCAAAAAAACAGCATTTCCAATTGCAGCACCTCCAGTTTATAACGTTTCGCCAACTGGAGAAATAGCAGGCGGAACTTCGTCAGATCTTGCTTCTCAAGTGATAGACGCGATTAAAAAAGAAGTTGCATTGCCGAATTCAAATTTATCGAGCTTGGTTTCACATCAGGCTGATGGCCAATACCAGGCTACACAATTCCGTAAAACTCTTATGGAAGCAGTTGGTATGGACGAAAGACCAAACAATGCTGATATTTTTTTCGTGGTTGTATGGGACGTTGCTCATTGGTTTAATCTCTGCATGGAAGAATTGAAAGACAAAAACTCTTCGTTGATCAGCAGACTGTCCTCTAGATGCAACCGCTTCAACGTAATGTTTTCGCTTGGCCGAGGATTTGCGGAATACCAGGGGGTATCAAAAGAACTAAATTTGCCGGTCCATGTCACTCAAACAATCTCGACCACCAGATTTGCGACCAGTGCTTTTCGCCAGTTCAAACATATTTACAGTGATTACTCAGTGTTAGTGGAGACCTTCCGGAAGACAAGGGAATCAGATGACGATTGCGACCAAACTAAATTTATGGTTCGTGGCCGTGATTTCGTCATCGATTTGTGCGGAGTTATAGACGTCCTCTCGCTGCCAATGGAAATAATGACTCGTTCACAAGCCGTCTATTATTGTTTGTGGGACATTGTTTCATGGTGGCCATCGATACAGAAAAAGTTGAAAGACCAATTAAATAATTTGGAAAAAAACATTGCTGGGGAGGAAGAGTTAAATCCTTCTCTGTTCCCAGAATTAACGAAACATTGGAATAAATTATCGTCATCCGATATCGAGCAGTGTACTTTTCAGAACACACCACTGTTGGAAGGGTGGATGGTAACAGCCGAAAATGCCACCAAGTCTCGCAAGACCTTCACATGGACCGCCCGTTCACCGGAAGATTGTCTTATTGATCTTAAACTTTTATGCGAAGAGACAATCAACATAACAAGCAAACGGTATAAGAAAAGCGTTCCTGCTGCAGCAGAAATACTGAAAAAATGCCTTGATGTAGAAGTGATTTTTGAGGAACTCGAAAAATGCGACTGTGTCCTATATGCCGATAATTTAGTCCAATTGAGACAACTTGGCTCTAGTGAGTTTTCCATGTTTTTTGAATATGTATGTTCACTGCCCCACATTAAAGAATTATCAAATAGAGAGCGACACCTTTTACTCAATCCACATTTGGCTGAAGACGTTTTCACAAAATTTAAAATTGCAATCCACAAAGTAATTTTTCATGATATGGCAAATTGTAGATCCGATTGGTTCCCTGTAGTTGGCGGGGCAAAATTACCGGAAAATTGTAAACCCCAGAACTTTTCTCTCCTTAAAGTCGAAAATTCCATTAATAATATATATAATTTCAAATTTGAAAATGATTATCAGTGCACATTTGATCGACAGCGATTCCACGAGAGCTTATATTGCAACGACTTGCTCTACTCTGCGATTGGGTCAGAGTTCTGTATCGCAATGGATATTGGAATAAACCTGGGTGGCTCGGAAGCCGTGGTTGAATCCTTTTACTCCGTAATGAAAACCCATCAACAGTCCGGCGGACAGAGTAATGAGACACTTGCCAGGAGAACAATTGTCGACTGGCAATTCCCCATGCCTGCCCAATGCCCACATACCATCCGCGAAGTTGCAAAGTTGTACTTAGACGGAGATCAGGAAAGAGATCTTGCGAAACATCGTCTACCTGTTTTCATGGACAGCAGAGGACGGGCGAAGCAGTACCGATCATCGAGCAAGGTTCTAGATCGTGTAACTGAGAAGTCCGATTCCGCTGTCCTTGCGCCCGAGGACCAAAAATAATTATACCACGAATCTTTTCAGCGTTGCTCATAGCACATAACCTAAAAACTATATATTACATCCCATGCTTTCCCCGATATTGTTTGTTAGTCATCTTTTATTATTTTGTATAAGCATTTTATCCGCGTTTTAATAAATGTAATATAGATAAGTACTGTGCCTGAATTTTTTCCCTCGCACCAATATTTTTTCCTATACATTTTCTTAGACTTCTTTGAGATTTTCTATGTCGTCGTTTCATGAATGTACCAAAAATATAAACTGTATCTGATTTTTCACCTCGCACCATTTTTCCTAAAACCGTTTTCTCTTATTTCTGTAAGAATTTGTCGGAGCGTCATACATATAATAAAAATATGTACGTGGCTGGATTTTTTGCCCCAGCATCCTTTTCTCCTGAATGCATTTTTCCTTGAACTTCTGTTACTGCTTTTCTGATATAACATGCACCTTTTCTTAGAAAACGTTTTGTTACATTTTTGTGACGGGCCGTCATAAATGCAATAAAATATGTACTGTGCCTAATTTTTGCCCTCGCACCTATTTTTTCTTGATTTCTGTGTGTGTTATCGATTATTACAATCGTATTGAATGAGCATAAACTATATCCATATAGTTCGTCATCCATTCGTCAAATGTTTTCCATTGTTTTTGAAAGTTCGGGTACAGGATAGAATTTATCTCGATGAATGGGAACGCCGAGAACACGACTTGATCATATGGCGAACCAGTCATACCAGTTCATGTCGGGTATGGGATTAGTTAATTACATGTTCAAGATGCGCAGGCTTGGTGGTGGGGAAAGGGGTAGTCGACGATCGGTTGCGAAGAATTCAAAAATCTTATCGCACAATTTAATTATTCCTACAGGACCTGCGAACCCACGCAGGGTAATCAGAGGTGCGATGTTAATTAAGCGCATTTCTAACGTGTAGCACGATGCACCACACCGTCGAGTCGAGTATAAAACGTCGTTTTCGTTACGCATTTTTCGGTCGGCCCAAATCTTGCAACCTAGTGTATAGTCGGCATTTGTGGAGCTACAATTCGTTGGTATCTTTTTATTACTGGATTATTGATTTAAGCACCATTTTAGCCAGTTTTAACAAAACGGTGAAAACCGTTAAAAACCACTAGAAAGCTTGCCAAGACGTTGAAAAAACGTGAAAAACCACTACAAAACGTGGTGAGCAATTGTAAATTTTCGGCGTGCAAAATCGACTCCGCCCGCGTGCATTTTGGCGGAGCGCGAGCGCCCTCGGGCGTGCATCTGCCATGAAATCCAGTCTGGGTCCCATCGAGATTGGGGTGGTGTATACAGATGAAAAAGACGGCTGAACTGAAGGTGAACCTCTTGGCCCTAGAATATAAGTATAAGTTTATTTCAACTACGTAATCAGCAATAGATGATGAAATGATTGATAAAAACAAAATAAATAAAACTTATTATAGAATTGAGAAAGCGAGCAAAACCTCAAGTAAGGTTTAAAGCAGAGGTGGGCACGGTTTTTAAACAAAGAGCCAAAAATTTCGTCTACTTAGGGCAGGGGTTCTCAACCTGGGGTTCGCGAACCCCCAGGGGTTCACGAGACGATTTCCAGGGGTACTTGGATGGCAGTCGAGTTTTTGCGTGTTTTTTTTCCTTTTAACTAACAAAGGAAAACTAGGTAACCACAAGATGAAAATGCATGCCAATAGAAACTCAGCGTATTTTTTCCTTGATGTAGCGTTGTTGTGATTGTGACGCGACAATGTGAAATGCGCGGCTTTATTAGAATTGATTTGTTGGGTGGAGGATAAGGGGTTCGCTTTGATTGTTTTGTGATTTTGGGGGTTCGCATTGAATGTTTTGTGACTCAGGGGGTACCTAACAGAAAAAAGGTTGAGAACCCCTGACTTAGGGCCATAAAAATGTGACGTAAAAAGTTACATTTTATGAACGATATTTATAGTATTACAAAGCAAAGGTGGAAAGCAATAAGTTCTGGCCAAACTTGAATTAGTGGCAATCGTCAGCAAATTCCTTGAGTTATATTAGCTAAAACATCAAAATTTGATTTCAGATTGGTTGTGGCAGCAGCATTAGGCGGCAAGATTGAATTACCCAACGGGCCGAATTTGGCCCGCGGGCCGTACTTTGCCCGTGTCTGGTTTAAACATCAAGTTCTAACTCTTATTATAGTCTCAATTTTGAAAAATAGATAAAATTACTATATATATGCCATCCGGCTGTGTTGGGTTAGGGTACAAATTTTAGGTTGGAATTGATTGATAAAAGAAGTATTATGTTTTCACTCACCCAGAAGGTCATCATAAATATAATGAGATTCCTCGTCTTCACTTGAAGAATCATCCACGCCCTCACTCCCACTGTTAATTTCTGCTTCATATTTCTGAAACTCTTCCTCCATTTTAATACAACAGATTTGGTACAACAGATATATTTTTATGCGACTAACCTTGCTCAAAGCAGAAAGAAGTAACAAAGTATTGATTAGAGAAAACGCCCTCATCAGCAGGTCGTAAAGCGCTTGATGCCCGCAGTGTTCCCAATAAAACCCTGTCTAAAGAATTCGCAAAATAAATGAATCGAACTTGCGTGAATCAGATACACCAATCGTTAATTATATTATATTGACCAAAATTGAAGATTATAAAATTATTTTGTCCTCGAGATATGCGTTATTTCAATTTTTGTGATAACAATGGGAACACTAGTTTTTATAAGCCGATTCTACGTTCTTCTTTCTTTCCTGATTTTTTTTCTATTTCTTTATTATCACAAAGAGAGCAGCGTTTATTTACCGCATTGCACAACACGTCGTAAGCGTATTTCTTCAACATTGCACAACACGAAGTAAACTACACTCAGCTGTGCGTTTTTCAAGATAATCACAAAGTGTTCCCCAATGGTATAATTTTGACGTAATCATTACGTCATACTCTCAAAATTAAATATGGTATTTTCTACAATATGCCGCCATAACTAAAATGTAATAGTATCAGTCATTCACATCTAAATTATAATCACAATTGCCTTTAATCTGATAGTCATAGGTCGAGGGGAACACAAAAATCCGACATCGCATGTTCACCCATGCCTGGGCGAAGTGTAACTGAAGGAATTGTCGGCAATTTCGTGTCGGTCAACTAAGCATACCACATTTATTCATATATCACCCCAACTCGTAGATAAATCACACATTCCGCGAATGAAATAGGAATAATACAATCTTGGTATTCATATGAATACATTCCCGGCCGGCGCGACAGACTTAAAATGTATTCATATGAATCCCGCCGCTCTCTAAGAGTTAATGAAAACATGAAGTGAAAAAGTTGTTGAAAACCACAAGAAGTGGACAACCAAATTCATCTACTTCAATGCCTTCGCAGAGCTTTGTTACCACTCTTGTTCCCAAGGGATCATTTGAAGATGTACCGGAGGTCATGGTATTTGGTAGCATAATAGATGAGAAACCAGGAACAAATATATTCCTTTTTGTGTTGCGGCATTTATTAAAAAAGTTCCAGGCAATACCGTTAATAAACAAAACTTGAAATTAGATTTAATCGAAGCCCGTGACTGCAATAAAAATAAATTATATGAAACGCTTGTCTAACATATTCATGGTGGATGTCTTCTGCGACTTTTTTTCAATCGTACCTGTGCTTCCGAGTTCCGACCGACCCGCTAAGAAACATTTCCATTTTCTTCTTTTATTGCCATCGTTTTGTCATCTACAAAATGTATTCTCCTCGTTTTCTTTCCAATTTTGAAGGCTGTTTAATAAAAATCATAAATTTACTATCTATGATAATGATTACACACAGGTTCAACATTTTTTACCTCAAGCTTATATATTTCCTTTATAGTTGCCACAAGGCGTTATTTTCCACGAAGTCTAAGATTTCTTTAATACATCTTGTGTCGAATCCTTCACTATTTTTGCACGCTCGGCTGATCTACGTTATGCTCTTCATCGAGCGACTTTGATTGGCATGAATTACAAGAATCATCTTCGTGCTGTATGGCGACTAGACAGTTTTTGTTGAAATACCTTAAACAATTGATCTCAATGCTGAGCAAGAGTAGAATTAGAGCTAAAGCAGAAATTGTTTGCTAGGGTAATTCATATTTCCGAGTTGAATTCAAATTTTATTGAAGAACTATTACCCAATATAGTTGTAATATAACTAAGTATCGCCAAAGACTCACCTTGTTTGTGAAATGAATTTGTTAGACTGTCTTAAAACATAATTTATAACTCCAATATGGGAATTCCGCAACGGGCATCGTTTTTATACAAATCTTATCCAACGAAGATTTTTGCGGGATAGAAATACCGTTTAAATACGAAGATATTGCTAGATGTTCGTTAACTTAAGGAACTGCGTCGGTAGTAAAATTTGGATGGTTTAGTTAGATGAATTTATTAGGATTGGTCTAATTTAAAATATCTATAAATGTAACAACTCTTTCTTCAAAGATGAATAAAGTTCGCGCAATTTAGAAATAATGTGTAGTTGTGCAGGTCGCCAAACTACCTTTCTTCCTGCCATTAATTTTTGATGAAAAATTGTCTCCGGTAACTTTAGACTTGGGAGTGATCATAAATGAACCCATGGCTTTTTCGATTTCTATCGTGGGCCATAAAAAGAAAGTTAGGTCCTTGTGCTGGCGATATTGCCCATGAGAATACACCTATTGATATTGTCTTCCAGGTGATATTATGTTGGCATGAACATAGATAAAAAGTTCAATTGCTTCAACCTGTCGCCTCATGGTAGTGGTGGCCAACTCACCTACGTTTCTTTTTAAAACTGAAGAACTGAATTTGATGTTGCAGTAACAGTTATATGACATCTTCAGAGAAGATGGTTCAACAGGAAAAGGATCTCTTCTAATCCAAATGTTTAATCTAAGGGTGGGAATCCTAATTCTCCCATCACCGATCAATAGTGCTTGTTTACGATGTGAGTACATAGATTCATGTCCATTATTATAATTCACATGCGACGTAGTAGACATTAACATTGCGATACATACCTCCTCAACAATTTTAGTTCCTCTTCCCATTTTGAAATTACTGTAGTATAAGAGTGTAGTAATAGCAGTATGGCTGTATGATATACTAGCCAAATAAGTCCATACAAAATTAACAGTTCAAGAACTTCTTTGCTTGTTTGCACAGGACTGTTTCGCCACTCTCCTCTTTATTCTTACTTTAATCTCTTCAACAATTTTAGTTCCTCTTCCCATTTTGAAATTACTGTAGTATAATAGTGTAGCAATAGCAGTATGGCTCTATGATAAACTAGCCAAATAGGTCCATACAAAATTAACAACTCAAGAACTTTTACATGACTTATTATTGTAATCCTTGCGGAATCGAGTATACATACATGATGAAAAGTTACAACAAGAATTACATGACAAAAATTTATACGAAATTGACAGTTCGAGAACTTCTTTGCTTATTTGCACAGGACTGTTTCGTCACTCTCCTCTTTATTCTTTCTTTCACCTCCTCAACAATTTTCGTTCTTCTGTATGATAATAAACTAGCCAAATAAGTCCATACGAGATTACCAACTCAAGAACTTTTACAGGACTTATTGTAATCCTTGCGGAATCGAGTATACATACATGATAAAAAATTACACATGATTTTAACTGTGAAAAAATTAATGATATTGGTAATTGTAAAATCAAAAGAGCAGTAAAATTTATTAGCACCAACGATAAAAACATAGAAAAATTGATCAATTGCTTAATTCATTTGAATCTTCTCTTATGCTGCTCAATTAACAAAGGCAAATTTTGTGGAAATAATTTCACAACGACCATGAGTGCAATTGTATCTCCTTCAGCTGAATGAGGTAAAAGCCTACTGTGATGAACACCCACATATTTTGGTCACTCTGAAAGAAACCAAACAACAACAAACGGACAAACAAAATGCAAGTAAATAAAACGAATTCTTTTGTAGATGAATCGTACAATTCAGAATATTGCAATAGCTATAGAGTGAAAGCTAGTCTTATATTCAAGTGCGGACTCTTCTTTCCCATATATACCTAAGGCGATAGCTCTGTAAAAACAGTCCCCATCAGCAGCCGCTCGTCTTGGACTGTTTATTGCCAATTCGTTAGGTTGTAAAGATGGTAATATTTGCG